TATAACTTTAAAATATTAATGGATATATAATTAAACAATGAAAACTTATATGCATAAACTAGTTACAACACTTTTTTTATGAGTTCACATCTGTTATAATTCTAATAGAGGCTTTTTTTTCTGATAGAGTTCATTCATGTTGTCAGAAAGATGCCATTTTAAGATAAAACCCAATGTTTTCTTGGGAGATTGGAGAAAACCTATTATGTGAATAATATGCCCATTTAAAAACTTGTTTTTATTACGAGAGTGAAAACAAAATACAAAAAGAACATCTTAATTTTCTAAGAATGTTTGCTTGTGTACTATTAAAAAAACAATAAAATAAAGTTGTTGAATGGAATGCTGCTTGAAAGAATTTGTACAAATCTTCGGGTAAAACAGTATTTTTAGATTTCTATCAGCAATTGCATTTTGCACTAATTCAGAAAAGAGCTAACTCGTTTAAAAATATGCCCCATTTTAAGCATGTGTAGGATTATAATAATCCTATAAATTACATACGTCAAAAGTGGTTGTGCAATTCTATTGTATTTAATAATTTCATATGATGAATAACTATTTATTTAAGCCTTAAAAAGACTCATTTTATTATCTTGATGCAGTTATGATTAGGGTCTTCTATAGTTCAAAAAGTAACCAACCATAAAGGATTTTTTTTTTTGGACAACTATAAACGATTTAAGTAGTACAAAAAATATATAACTTCATATATAATGGTTGAATTTAGACTGCAGGTAAAGTAATATTCATTCAATTGAACAGAAATAAATTATGACTATAATACTTTCATTTATATACTCTAGTAATTAACATAATTAAAAAATAAATGTAATTTCATGTCTTGTAGATGAAATATTTATCAATAGCCAACCTCTATACTATTGTAATTGAAAATGGTAGTATTTCTGTTTTATATATAATAAAGATAAATAAAAGTAGTTAAATTAATCAATTTTAATTAATAATTTTATAATTTTAGATTTTATTCTAAAAATATTATATAATTAAATGATATAACTGGTAATTATTATATTTAATGACAACTCATAATTTTTTTAATGCTTTAAAAAAATGTAAAGACAAGTAGTTAAATGATAGTATTTCTGTTTTTATATGTAATAAAGATAAATAAAACTAGTTAAACTAATCAATTTTAATTAATAATGTTATAATTTTATATTTTATTCCAAAAATACTATATAATTAAATGATATAAGTCATAGTTATAATATTTAATGACAACTCATAAATTCTTTTGATGCTTAAGAAAATGTAAAGAAAAAAAATTAACGCTCTAATATGTAAGACACTTATAGAATCAACTAGCAAAAGGAAAACAAGTTGAGGAGAACTAATTATCTAAATTTGGATAGATTAATCATGCATGACATTATGTTTTGCCAGGAAATCAACATACAAATTAACTTCTTGAAAGACATACTTAAATCTAACTGTACTGGCCAGCCAAGTTGTCGACTTGTCCCTCACCAATCTGCCGACTCGGTTGTACCAGCCTGACCAAGCAGTAAGCTCATTATTGCCGAGCTCCTCAGCTCGACCATGAACTTTAGCATCGGAGTCTCTTTTGCAGGTACCACCCCCATCTTGGAACATCAAGCGTACCAGCGAAGGAGGCTCACCAATCTTACTCGGCGGATCACCTCTACGGTAGATTTCCGGTAAGAACATTTGGCGCCCACCGTGGGGCCGATCAAGACAGCTCTTATCGGCCACGCTTATGGTATTCACCCGAAGCCATAGTAGACGCGCAACAGACGATGCAGATCGCACGACAAGCATGGACAACGAAGCGGCATTGAGAAGGCTGATCGAACAGGTCGAACAGATGCGGCAACAACACGACGCCGATCTTCAAAACATGCGTGCCAAGCACGAAACCGACCTAGCCGCAATGCGGACCGCCAATGAAGCTGATCTAGCGGCACTACACGCTGAAAACGAGCGGATTCGCGCCCAGCTCCCTCGACGCCCCTCTGATCATCCTCCTGAGGCGAGCAACCTCCACGAGGAAGAAGGGCATTCGGTCTCTCAGCCCCGAACTGCGACTAGGGCACCGACTCCACGACCTGCCACGCATCGATCTCATGCACCGACGAACAAGTCGGCCCATGAACTCAGCAAGGCCCCTACTCATGTCATGGGGGATCAAGCAACCTTCCGCCGTCATCCCTTTGTGGACGACATCATGGAGACACCTCTGCCTTTCGGCTGGAAGCCCCTCCATGTCAACCGCTATGACGACACGACGGATCTAGACGAACACATTGACTTATACGTCACAGAGGTAAACCTATACACTAATGAAGATGTTATTCTGTGTAGGATTTTTCCAACCTCGCTCAAGGGATTAGCACTCGCCTGGTATACCCAATTGCCAATGGGATCAGTCGATAGCTTCAACACTCTGATGAGGCGATTCACGGCGCAATACGCAACGAGCCGACCTCATCACATCATATCCGCCGCCTTGGCCAGCCTCAGACAGGGCGACGACGAACCATTAAGGACATTCATGGAGCTCTTCGCTGGCGTCTCCGTCAAAATCCGCAACTTAAACCCCGAGGTCGCACTGCACTCCATGCTCATGGCGTTGAAGCCAGGACCTTTCGTCGACAGCCTTTGCCGACGACCTCCTCCCGACATGGACGAGCTCCGAGCTCGCGCTGCTGGGTACATCCAGATGGAGGAGCATGCCGAGTTCCGCAAGGCAATTCGCGACAAACCACAAGGAAAGCAAGACCAAGGTCAGGCCACGAACATTTAAAGTTGGCGACCTTGTTTGGCGATTACGGGGAGAAGCAAGAATAGACCCCTCCAAAGGAAAATTTGGAACTTGGAATTCCACCCACCTCAAATTTTATTTCTCTTAACTTGTAAATTCAGGGGATGTACTCTTTTTCCTCCTCAGCCTTTTTTCCCACTAAAGAAAAGGGTTTTTGGCCAAGGAAGGTTTTAACGAGGCACCCCTCAGAAATAAATCAACAAAGCAACTCCATTCCCATACATTTTCGGTATTGGCACATTAACCATGACGACTTGCCAAGGTCGAGTTCGAACCTTGATGTTAAAGTCGGGTTCGAACCTTCAAATACAAATTACGTTGCCAAGGTCGAATCCGAACCTTGATGCCAAGGTCGAGTTCGAACCTTGAGATCACATTTTCTTAACCAAGGTCGAGTTCGAACCTTGATATGCCAAGGTCGAGTCCGAACCTTGAGATCACATTTTCTTAACCAAGGTCGAGTTCGAACCTTGATATACCAAGGTCGAGTCCGAACCTTGAGATCACATCTACTTAACAAGGTCGAATTTGAACCCTCAAACAACAAATTTGGGAACTCCTCAGAAGCCCCTTTGCTCTTACATCACTCGGTGCTTGGGGGGCAAGTGTACTGGCCAGCCGAGTTGCCGACTTGTCCCTCACCAATCTGCTGACTCGGTCAAAGGTTTACCAGCCTAACCAAGCAGTAAGCTCATTATTACCGAGCTCCTCAGCTCGACCATGAACTTTAGCATCAGAGTCTCTTTTACAGGTACCACCCCCATTTTGGAACATCAAGCGTACCAGCGAAGGAGACTCACCAATCTTACTCGGCGGATCACCTCTACGGTAGATTTCCGGTAAGAACACTAACAATCCAATTTAAAGAAGTAAAGTGTTGAATCCTTTTTTTAAGCGACTAATATAGATGAAAAACATTAGCATTTTCTCATATCAACTTCAAGGCCATAAGAGAATTTGATTTAGAAATAAGGTTGTTAATACCTTCATATCAAACTTTCACCAATTAAAAAAAAAGATATCCAACAACTCTCCTTTGAGATTGATAGAGACCCCACATTAACCCGAAAAATTTGAAACCAATTATCCATTCTGGTCACGAATTACATCTCTTGAAGTAAATAGATTTCTTTCTACATATATGAAGAATGATTTATTTATTCTAAAAGCAAATCTACCTAGACTTACTTCACTCAATAATTGTATTTTACATCAAATTTCAATGATCTAACCATTCAATTTTGAGTTCTTAATATATAGATAAATCTGTAAAAAAATTTTAAAAATTAAAAATATTCAATATTTTATTTCATTAATTTAAATTAATGTATAATCATAAAAATATTTTATACGTTGATTTGAATTATTGAAACGAAGTATTAAATAATTTTAAATTTTTTTAAAAAACTTCCAGATTTGATCTATATATTAAAAACTTTTAAAGTAACGATCGGATTGTTAAAATTTAACATAAAACATAAATTATTAAATAGTAAATTTAGATAAACTTATTTTTTGAATAAACACACACACACACACACACACATATATATATATATATATATATATATATATATATATATATAATACAAGGACTCAATAACTTTATATTAAATGTGAATTTTGTAAATCCAACCGTTAGATTAAAAATTCTTTACTCTTAAATCATATATACAAAATTTTATATTAATCCAAGATGATTTGATACTTCATTCTTATAAAATAAAATTGACATAATATATTTATTTCAAAATATATTAAAATATAAATACTTTGATTACTCTCAAGTTGTTGTTCAATTTTAACAAAATTTGATATGCAAATATAAAGTGATATAAATTTTCAATCTAATGGTTAAATTTACAAAATTTACAATTAATATAAAGTTATTAAGTAGTGTAATACTTGGTAAAAGTTACACCGATATCGTTTGAACCCTCCTTTTATATATATATATATATATATATATGAATGAATGATAACTTGGTAAGGATTACAATTTAAAATAAGAACATGCACATTACTTCAAGCAGCACACCTCTATATCTGCATTTCTGAGGCAAAGGAAAAAAAAAAGGTAGATTATAAAATACCATCTGAACGGAGTCGGTGGAGCTTTCACCAACTTTTTTTCAATTTAGTGTGTAATTTGATATTGTGGGGATGCCATCATCAGCCCTTGTACAACATGGCGTAAAGCTCAAGAAAAAATTATATTCATCTCGCACACAAAAAATATATTACAAGACAACGAATTAGAGAACCCCCCTTCTGTGACAACTTATTGAGTATTTGAGATTAGGAGCAAAGGACCAAAAAAGCACAACGTATCAGGGTTCGGTAGCCCCATTTTCAATAGCCAGTGTCATAACTAATAACACTTTTGTCACCATTTCTACTTCCTCGCATAACAAAACCCCAAAACTGGACCAGGATTCGTGAAGCCTAACTTTCTATACAATTATAACATTTATTACATAGCCTACAACAGAAAAACAGATTAAAGAAGATACGATTTTCAAGCAGTTTCAGGAACTGAGCGCTGGTAAGGCAGACGGCGATCTGGAACTCCCTCCTCAGCACGCTTGTCTTCAAACCACTTGACAACTCTTTTTCGAGGAATGTTTGTTACATGGACAATGCTGCTGATCATTGCATTCTACATTGCGATTCAAGGTAGACAAATAAGGGTATCGAAGTTAACAAATATATGTCCAAGGAAACTGCAAAATTATTATAATAAAGATAAAACTTGTATACAATTCATTATATGCTTTTAGCATCATTCTCCAATTAAATTAATTTTTCATCTCAAGAATCTATGTTGATTTTTAATGCAAACTGTAATCACATAAATAACTGAGATAAAACTCCAATTTTAATTAGAAAACAAAACAAATGACAATTTGATTTGGGAACAAATAAAATAAAAGATCGAAACTATAATTTAACCTTTAAAGAACTACATCTAAGTGTTATTCCTATAATAACTAGCAAGAAATGTGTTTTTGCCATTACCAAATGCTACATATCATATAATTAAGTAGTAATGAAACATGAGCAGTTTGATTTGGGCAGGTTTTTATTTTTTGTTGGCCCATTTTTTTCACTTTTATTTGGGGCAAATAAATATAAGTGCATGAGTATATATAGTGAAGTCTCCATCTCTCAGATATTAACGTAGAACATTTACCTTGAGCACTGAGAATGAGAAACACTGATTACTTTCATTTTGGCAATTGTAGTACATGGCATGGATTTTTCCAACCAAACATATAATACAGAATCATGAAACACAAAGGTATTGCATTATTCATCTTAATTTTTTTGCTTAAAATCTCAATACTGGTACAAGCATGCATTATTTAAAAGTTTCTCCCTTAAAACATTTGATTCTAGAGGGAATTGCAAGTAAAAAAAATGGAGTGAATTAAATCAGAAGACTAGTTATGGATGACTGGATGATCTTCTATCACAAGAATTGTAATGTTGAAGCATGGCAAACGTTACTTACAGTGGGTCGTTTTGATCTCCTATAAACTCTCTCCAAAGTGTCAACATGGGCCTTTTTCAATCTCTTTTGAGCATACCAATTACGTTGCAAGGTATGAACAGGTACTTTAGCCTTGGGTCCAGATTCTGCATGATCAACACTTGTTTCGATATGAACAATCTCTCTGGGCTTAGTTTCAAGTGATACTACGGTTGTTGTGGGTTCATCAGGTATTGATAGACTCATCATTAGAAGATTTGGAGGAGGTTCACGAAGCAATTGAAGAACAAGAGCCCTATCAAGACAAAGATCAGCAGCAAGATTTTTTATCTGCAACAAGTTAAAAAGTGTATGTGAGGAATGGAATCCTGAAGTTAATATTAGGGACTGTCCTAGCAATGGTGTCTTTCATGTTAAGTATCAAGCCAATAAAAAGAATTCACCCATCTATGATAAGTTGATAACCCTTCAGATGAGGAGAAAACAAAAACTTTAATCAGAAAACCTATCTTATGTAAAACTTTGGGGATTAAGTTTTTGACTTGGTTCAACCCAAATATACCCTTTAACCGACCTAGTCTATCCTATTTTGACCAATCCATAAATCCCAATTCTCTTTTTCTTCTTACTCCTCCTTCTTGTGCATTGGGTTAACAAAATATTCTTTGCAGTTCTGTGAACGGGGATTTTTCCTGGAAAATCCTCTTAAATCATAAGGTATTTTCACATTATTAAGTTTATCCATGGCAAAAGAACCCCCAAGTACAGTGCCATTACATACCTCAGGTTACTGTTTTTCTCCAATTTTTCCAACATCATCATAGGAAGTTATGAGCACTTAAAGACAACCTTTTCAAATTTGCTCCCACTCAAGCAAATCTCAATATTTCAATGAAAAAGGAAAATATAATTTCATGTTGAAGTTAAGGGGTTTGCAAATTAAATTGATATCCTCTTCAATAATTAGTATGAAACTATGAATTGCCTTTAATCAAGACTCCAGATCATTCGAGGAACAAGCAACCAGACCTGGCTGGTCTTAACAATCAACCAGGCTGTAGGAAGCTTCTACCTACCGAGTATCAAGAAAAAGCCCCAAAATCAGAAGATGCATCATATCATGTTGGAATAAAAGGCTTGAACATTTAAAAGTCACATGTAAAATCAAACAAGCACTTCAGGTAGGGAACAAATCAAAATGCTTAACCTCTGCCGAGGCCGAGGGTAACCAAAACAATCCCGTATACCCTTAATCATCCAAAAAACATATTTTTATCAGTTATCCACTCAGAATAGATAGCTAATTAAGCACAGAAATGAAATTGGAACAAAGTGAATAAACAAATTCAGCTGAATGACTAAGACGCTTACACTTGTTTTACGGCGGCCAGCTTTTAAAGCTCTAGCTAATTTCTTCATCTGCCAGTTCCTAAGCTTCAGTGACTTTTCATCTCCATCATCTTTATCATTATCATCATTATCACCATCATCATCATCATCATCTTCTTCTTCTTCTTCTTCTTCTTCTTCTTCTTCTTCTTCTTCTTCTTCTTCTGGGTCGCTACCAGTTTCTATGTCTATAACATCGGAGTTCAACAGTTCAGCATCAAAGTCCCCCAATGCATTTTCCAACTCACGTTCAAGCAATGCCATGTCTTCTTCAGTTATCTCATCTTCGTCTTCTGATAAACCATCGCGTTTGAGATCTTCTTCGAGTTGCTTGAAGAGCAGCTCAAATGCATCCTCATCCTCGTCGTCAACCTCAGTAACATGATGAGGAGACAATTTTTTCTGTAAAATACAAAGCAATCAAAACCAGTCACACTGTAATTAGAAAAGCTTAACACAGAGAAACAACCTAAAAGCTAGGAAGATAGGCAGAAATAATCATCGGCAATTAACATGGCACAAAAAAGAATTTACTATAATCGAATTTATTTATCAATTTGAGAGATAGAAATGACCTTGTTTTTCTTTTTGGAAGAGGCAGCAACAATTGAAGAGCAGAGGTTACGAGCACGAGAGGGAAGAGGAACGGAGCAAAAGAGAGGTTTCCGTTGGAAAGGAAGAGTGAGGAAAGGGTCACTCCGAGCACACGATAAACACCGAAAAGCAACCGCCATTTTTCTCTTCTTTCGATTTCGGTTTATCCACAGGGTGTAGGAGTGACCACTGACCAGAGTCAGGGTTTTCATATTTATCGCTATTTTATTTATATCACTTTTATGTCTTTAAAATTTAAATAATCACTCTTCTTTTTAAAAGTTTTTTTCTCCTTTGTACCCAAAAAAAATCTTTTTAAAGTTAAAAAGAAATTACTTAAATATTTCAAATATTAAAAAAATAATCTATAGATTTTATTAAAATGCATTATTTTAAAAACTAAAATGAAAAATACTTTAACAAAATTTATAACTATGTTATTATTAAGACTTTGTTAATGACCGATTGTTAATATCTAGTCATATTTTTATTTTTATTTTTAGTGAAGTTTCTTTTCTAGTTATATATATTTTTATTTTACGCAACAAAATCAAACCTATTTTTTTTTCAATACTAACGAATTGTTCTTAATAATTTCATTACTTTAAAGAGTATTTAATCCAGCAATAGTTGCTTTTTATACATAGTTGGTGGTGTTCTAAAATTAGTCTTTTATTCATCCTTAGAATTTATTATTATTATTTTTTATAAAAAGTATCACCTTCATTTTATGTGCAATTATATATTAAAAAAATAGTTTAAACCACAAATTATTTTTTATTTTTCTTGTGATCTATACAATTTTTACCTTCTTTAACAAAAATTTCTAGTTCCATTCCTGCCTCCGAGAATGTAAATTTTCTCTTCAGTGTTGATCATGAAAGAAAAAAAAAAAAAAAAAAAAAAAAAAAAAAAAAAAAAAAAAAAAAAAAAAACTAAAAGACTTGAAATATTATACATAAATTTAGACGGGAGATTGCTTTTTCTTGATGCCATTGCGGATCTCGTTTTATTGTTAATGAACATTATTTATTATAAATATAAATATAATTATATATTTATTATAAATTATAATTATGATATAATTTATATTTTTAAAAAATATTTTTTATTATTTTGTATTATATAAAATAAACATTTATTATATATAATTGTTTTCAAAACTTATCATTCTCGTTTTGTATAGTCTTGTCATGCAGAGGTAGTTAAAGAAAAGTTATAATTTTATAAATAAAAATTATTTAAAATATATTAATATTGTAAAATCTTTTTTATTACTTAACCAAAAATTTTCATATATGATAAGATTATTAGTTTTTTATTATAATTATTTTAACATCACATTTAAAATAATTTTTATTGATTAATAATATATCAAAATAATCTCATAAATAAAATGACGCATTATTTACTGTAAAAAAAATTAACTTCAAGTTGATTGATTTATTTATTTTTAAAATTCTAACAGATCTATGAGTAAGTTTCATTTACAATAATTGAATAAGAATCATTGTTTTTTTTTTTTTTGCAATAATTGAATTCATCATTTTATTTTTGCAGTGAAGACAAAAAAATAAAAATAAAAAAAATGGAATAGAAAACATAAAGCAGCGGAAATTAAAAATGGATACTCTGTAACTATTAGCTGTGACAGGGAAACAGAGG